GGGGGGGGGGGAGAATGTGCAGTGCGGAAAGCCACCTCACCGCAGTCAGATTCCCTAGTGGATAATCCTCCTCTAAACTGCATATTTAGTTAAAAGCTATCAGTGAGTTTGTTTTTGCCCATGTAGATCTGCTGTCGATTTCCAGAACGTGCTGAAGTGGAATTGCTCATTAAAAAACATAAAAAATCCGGTCAGAAAATCTGACTGTTCGTTAAGGACCCTTGTAAAATGCGCAGTCTGAGTAATTGCCTTGTTTTTTTGAGGGGTTTGGGTCTATCAAGAACATTCTTCGGATTTACAAATTAAACATCAAACACAGTAACTAACTTCTGCTTAGATTTAAAAGAAATTTCTTTCCTAGAAAAATTAAGAAGCGGCTACCTTATTTGTCCATTGTACAATTCCAAAAAAGCAAAATCTCCGTGATAAGTGGAGTTGGAAGCGAATATAAGTAAAATTGATGACGGTGATAATGTGCGGAATTTGAACGAGATTCGATATATGCTATCGATGCTGGCCAACCGGTCCTCGTTTATCACCACATAAGCCTTATGATTTTGAAATGTAACGGACGAGTATTTTGCCTTCCTGAAATTCGAGCATTAATTTTTTGCGAGTTAGCAATAAGACAATTCGAAGTTCTGATGCTTCTAAATATCCACACAAAAATCCACATTCATTTTTGTTAGTATGCCAACTCTCCAACCCCGAACATTCTGCAAATATTATTTATCGCTCAAATTTATAAAAACCAGGTAGACTCACTTATTTAAATGGATGCATAAGCAAAGGCATACCTGTTTTTTCCTTTGAATCCTTCGGGTGTTTCGTTAGATTTCGAAGCCTGGCCCTCAGCAGAACTTATCCTTTTCGCACTTTTGAGAACATCGTAATCATTGAAAAGCATTTTTACCATTTGACCACGAAATTTTTCACTTTGAGTACTATTTGTGCGCATAGCAGAATCAGACGTTGAGCTCGTGTGGAGAGGGCGTCCTGCTGCTATTTCATCGATATCCAGAACTACTTTCGAGGAAGGCAAGAAATCTGCAAATGTGCGTCAAATCAGTAACCTCTGTGGACCTCAGTCAGACAGCGCCAGGATTTTTCCACTTCCGCTTCAGCAACTTCTACTTTTTTTGGAACTTTACTAAAAATTGAAAAATTTCTGAAACATTGTATCTGAGAATAGAGAAGTCATTAGGCTTGAAAACAATGAGCAGACATGGACACTTACAGCTATGCTCCCATTTTCCATCTAGAAACAGCAGCAATTTTTCACCACGTCGTTTAACACGCACTGAGTGGATGCGATCGTCATTCAGATCAGTGCCCCAGTTGAAAGTCTGCAAAATTTTGAAGCTTTCGCCCTGTTTGTTATTCATTCGGGGAAGAAGGATTTATTGCTTTTCGTGCTGGCTTTTCGAGCTTTTGTAAATTAGTTTTTGATATATTACAATTCCTTAAATGAACACCCGACATTATATTATGGTCTGCAGCTTTAGGTTTGAGAGGCCTAGTACAGGTACGCTGGGTATGTGCAGATACGCCATGGAAAACCAACACCCACTGTCCGGTCGCTCCCGGCTTATTATAACAAAAGAATGACCGATTTTACAAAGCAGCAAGCAATGCTTGACCCAAGCAGTTCTTGTTAAAATGCATATAGTGTGCAAAATATTCTAGCAAAGAGAGATCACCAGGCATGCAAACTACAGCACCAAACATGGCTGGGAGGTTTAGCGCATCTACTAAGTACGAAGGCAGATGCAATCGCAATTAGATTTTCTAAGACAAAAAGTGCATTTTAAAGAGAATTTGAAGAGAATAGGACAAATGGAGGATAAAATGGATCTCAAGAGGAATAGAACAAATGGATTTTCAACAAAACGAGGGTTTTATTAAACTCTTTTACTTTGCTTACTTTGTTATTTCAGTAGAGAAAGCTATTGTAAGAAAAAGTTGTAAATTAAAAATTAATCTGCGCTTTCTGGAAAAGGTGTCTTTGGCAAAACAACGACCGAAGACAAGAGGTCCAAAAGGAAACAGCACACTAGAAATAAGAGTGTGAATTGCATCCTATAGATTTTTGGAAAATTTACATAGGAAGTGTAAAAGTCTGCGAAAAGAGACATGGAGGCGAAGAGAGGAGGAAGAAGCTTCTCAAATTTTGATTAAACTTTTTTCACAATGAAATTGCGAGTTTCCAGAACTC